GAAATCATTCTGTTGCACATCAGTACAGGTCTATTTTTTTCAAGCCTTAAGGGTGAGATTACCCACCAGTTTTTAATTGCTCCTTTATTGGTGCAAATTGATTTATTTTATGAAATTACTTTCAGTGTGTTAATTGATCTTTTTGCCTGCTTACTCTTAACAGGGATCAATCCATTGATCTGCCTCATAGGAGTGGCCCCAGAAAATGCAGAGGTGGCACAGATGTGGCAATAACTGGTATCCAGTGTGGGGCAGAGGAACCTGACCTGTTTTTTTTTTTTTACCCATCCCCTTGTTATGTGGGACTGGCATCAAATCTGCCTTCTTATTGAAACTTTCCTTGAGCAAATTTTGTCTCAGGAGCAGCTGTAGGAGAGCAGGCTGGCTGCCCATACAGGTTTTCCTTTGTGAAGGGTGTTTCAGCACTTTCAGTACCCTGTGGAAACACATGTGGAAACCATGATGTGACATATTCCCCAAAAGGTTTCTAAAGGAATCCATCAGGAAAAAATGTGCTCATCAAACTTCTCATCTCTACTTGCAATGAATGCTTCATTATCAATCATTACTATATAGCTATAAACCACTTAATTTTTCCTACCTCTACAATTTACCTAAACCACAATTACAAACACATATGAGGGGCAATGTTCAGCCCCTCATATACTTTTAAATCCTACCTATATTTTCTTAAGCATTTTATCATTCTGTGGTGAACCATATTTTACAGTGCATACAATTTTAAAACTTGAATTTCACCAGTCCTATTGGGATTGTTTTATCCAGAAAACTGAATTTATTTCTTCTAACTCAGGAAGAACTTTGATGTTAACTCTGAGATATTAAACATATCAAATAAAGAAAAGGAAAATACAGCTATGAATTCAGAATTTTCATTTTATTGGAAGCACAGGTCCAGTAATTAATATACTTATTTTATACAGTTAAATATACATTACACCCTGCAGAAGGAGATGAAATCAATACCAAGCAGCAAGCAGAATGTAAGTATTGATTGTACAAAAACCCCTCTCACACTAATGTTATCAAGGAGATTTTCAAACCTCTATTCTTAGGAACACCATTTGGAGGATTGTGCATATGCATGTGTAAAATGAGCTGCTATTATGACTTCATCTGTGTGTGTGGCACTGCAGAGGGTTTTGCTGAAGTAATAATTTGGTGGTATCAAGAGGCAGAAAATCGGATCACAGAAGCACAATTCAGATGCAATTGCTGAGTAAGTGCACTGTGGTGTTTCTCTCCTGTAAAGAGATTAAATACCAATATTTCATAAATACCACACACAGAGTACTTATGAGACAGATAAGGCAAGGATGGTAGTACAAGCAAAAATGAGAGGAAATGTTACCTGTGATGGATACAATTTTCTACCACAAAGAGGTCACTGGGAATTAAGAGATTTTGCCCCAAAAAACAGTTAAGTAAAATTTTAAGAATGCTTTTTAATTCCAAAGCCTGCAGAATGCAGAAGGATTGGGTATGGTGTGATTGATGGCTTAACTTCAGAGACCACGTTCAGACTTTTCAGTGGCTTTACAGCAACCTAATACTGCATTAACTCCACTCAAAATGTTCAAAGATGTAGAAGTCTCATTTTCAGATTTATTTAGGGCAAGTCTATATAGGCAGGTGCACAAAGAGACAGGCTTTCACTGGGTTCATTTTGAGATGACAACTAGCTCTGAACAACAGTCCCAAACAGTCATTCAAGATTACAAATCACTCGTGAACAATATAACTTTTCTTAAAATATTAAGCCTGGATGGATGAGCTTACCAAACAGTTAGAACCAGTCCAAACACTTTAACCAAGTGCACAAGGACAAGATTCTTGCCTAACTTAAAGCACAGATAAGTAAAACTTCAATTGTCCTTACAGCTTTATCTGCAAAACAGGACTACCTTTCACAAAGCTGGGATGCATTTAAATAATGTGTAATGGGTACATTTGATACCATAAGAAGATCTTGGATGGGAAACTGCATAAATGCAAAGCATTAGATCATTAAAGTCCACTGTTTATGCTCTCACATTCTGATGATCAATGTATGTATGCTTATATCCTTTTTCCAGAAAATAAAATAGTTATTCCTGAGGTAATGGTGAGCAGCTTGTAGAGAATTCACATATAGGAGCTGTGCATAAATTATGCAGCAAAGAATTCACAGAGATATTTCATTTCCTTTAAAAATGTCATCACTGGAGAACTGTGAGTTTTCAGGCCCCAAGTTGGGCAACTCCCTGGGGGCTCCCCTGGCATGAGAGACCCTCCTGGAGCAGTTCTGTGTCAGGAACAAGAGACTCATTGGACTTTTTCGGTCTTCAGCTTCTGTTTATTGTTACCTTATCAAAACTTCAGCACGTTGTCTGCACCAGACACTGCATGCAGGAAAAACAGCACAAAAATGGCTAATGACCTCGTGTTTCAAGGTTTTTAAGTTTAATCAAAAACTAAGTTACTCAATTAACAAGTGACATCTAAATTATGTTCCTTTCTAACCCAATAACTGACCCCTAAACACCTGCAATGTGTATTTTTCCACCCAATTACAAGATACCACCTAAACCCAAGAAGAAGGAAGAAGGAAGAAGAAAGGAACTCAAGACAACACCCTGCTGGAGATATACTCCATCTTGAACCCATCTACACCATCCTAAAAGTCCAAAAACCTAAATTTCTCACCCATGTGACATACTACACTACTATTTACAATCTCTACAATCTATTTCACGCTTTTGTGGTTTCTAGTTTACTTTGAGGCTTTGGAAGTCTTCTCCATGAATGAGGGTCAAAGTCAGTGCTTCCCTGGGGGTCAGGACACCCCAGAGCAGACAGAGAAATATTCCCAGTGCCCTGGGATTCCACAGGGAACCCTGGTGACAGATATCACACACAATCCACCTTTTGTTAATTTACACAGAGCCACAGTACACAGGTTACACATACCAAAGAGAAGACTTTAGTTCAAGAAAAGAAATACAACTTTAAAATGGATTTGCTTGCACAAAGGCATAGAAGTTATCAAATAAAGCAGGAAAGCAATATTGATTTTGATATAGGTACCCCTAAAAATATAGGCTTTGCAGAGTCAATATTGTCTTGATTTAGGTCCTAGCCCAACCCCAAAGTCCCAGACTTGGCTCCATCCACTTATTGATTTGTCTGGCATGCTGGGTTGGGGGTTTTTGTTTCTTTTTTTCCAGAAATGCTTTTCTGCTCTCAAATTTTAGCTAGCTCTCCCAGAAGAATGTCTAATACAGTCACAAAGAGCAATTCTGTTCCTTACAACTAAGCTATTGACTATCGTAATAAAAAGGAAGGACAGAAGTCATGTCAGCTTAGCTTCTCACAGGATCTCACAGTGCTCCTTCATTCAAAAACAATTATGTAATCAACAAGCAATGGATAACGAATTGCAAAATATCAGGAGCCCTTAATTTTCTATCAGGTATGATAAAAACCTTATAAAGTTAGGCAATTCTTGATTCTTGAGAAATAAAACACCATATAAATACCACCAATGTATCAATTATTTGATCTTTTGCTACAATACCTCTTCTATTTTATTTTTTTCTCTCCAGCTACCTGACATCTAAATGCCTATAATTTTAGACCACATGTCAGAAAAAAAAAGATCCACAGAAAGAGAGCTTCAAGATGTTATTTTTACCATTTTTAGACAGTAATTTACCTGATGTGCATCTGCAACACCCTTGTCTTTATATGGCGAGGAAGTGGTTTACATGAAGGAGCACAAAGAGACAGTACAGCTCTTTTAACAAGCCTTAACAATTTTGTTTTTATTAAATTTCTACAGTAAAATTGAAAACCTTTAGGGGAGTAAAGGTAGGGGCAAAAAAGCCCTGATGATGAATTATCAAGGAAACCAATAGAGGAAATAAAGCCATGCTCAGAAGAGATTAAACAAGTCATAAAGATTTTCATAAAAGGATGCAGGAAATAGGAGATATAACTGATTGATTGAGGTGCAAATGTATGTGTGAGCAGGAGGAAAGCAAAGGGTAAATTTGTCTGGGGAGTAAATCCATTTAGGTCATTATAGTTCAATATGGCCATGATCCAGCAAAACACTTGAGCATATGCTTGGTTTTAATATGACTCACTCCCAAAAGCTGAGCTCTGCTGACTTGTTCAGACTCAGGTTTGAGTGCAATTTCATCAGTATCCTCTCTTGAATTGTACCACCCCACTTGAAAGCCTGTAAGACAACAAAATGAAAGATGGAATGGCTTTGGATGGTTTATCTACCTGAAGAATCCACTCCGGACACAGCAAACTGCACACTCTGCTTTCCATAATGGAATGAGCTCAGAAATGGAAACCTATTTTTGCAAACACACAGGCTGAAAAAGAGGAATGTCAATGGCAGCCAGAGGGAATGGGACATCAGGATGTTGCAAGCTTTTATTTAATGGAAAACCATGCTGAAATTTTGAGACATGGCACATGATAACCTGATGTAACAGGGCCAAAATGACCATGCCTTTAATACTTATTTGTGTGGTTCCATCAGTGGTGCCTGTGCTTGCAGGCTGCAGGGTCCCAGTGGAAAAGGACCAGCTCAGGAGCACCAGCTGTGCCACAGGAGTGCCTGGACAGGGCAGAGCAGCTGCCCCTCTCCAAAGTGCCTCTCTGAAGACACTTTGCATTGCAGTCATTAACTGCTGATACCAAGAAATGAATTCTTTGATTGTTCTTTCTACCCCAAGTTTTGGTGATAATTCTGGCCAGGGCAGAGGAATGATTTTGGAAGCAGTCTGACTAAATCTGTGATCCTGAACAATTAATTTGAGCTGATTATCTTGTGACAAGACCACAAGTTTAAATTTTTAACCCATCTTCTCATCCGTAGGAGTCCATTCTTTTTCCTCTCTAAGCTCCAATCTTACATTTTCTAGGGCAGAAAGAAATACCATCCTGGATTTTTAGAAATGAACAAAGTAGATAAGATTAGATACACGATACAAGTCAGCACCACCAGGTACCATATTTATTTTTCTTAATTCTTTTTCCTGGGAAATGGGAATAGAAGGATCACAGCTTTCATTAAACAATAAAGGTAATTTCTAGTTCTCAAGGTTTCACAGAAAAGCATTAGAACATAATTCTTACAATGTCACCACAAATATCACTTTGACTTCTTGAATTTTCTCGCTTTTGAGCAGTGTATCTGAGGATGCAACAATTCACTTATATAAGCAATTTACAGAATATAGGGACCTGTTCATCTATTATGCCACAGAGTTCTTTTTACTCTAGGAAGCTGCGCTGAAACACGAAAGCAAACATATACGTAGAAATAAAACCAGTATGTTCACAGGGTATTTTTTTCAATTGCTGCATTTTATTAATAAGATACTAGGTAAAAGGTTTCTTTGAAACAATTCAGAAGTTGAAATTAAAAATGGTGTGTAATTTTCAGCATTTTATGTTTCATTTATTGTCAGACTCACAGTCAGAAAGATGAGGTGGGTGATAATTATTCAGGGTTGCCAATTAACCTACTTAGCAGGTCACACAGGTAACTGGCATAGATTGTGTCAAATCTCATTACTGGGATAATAATTTAATCACTCAGTGCATTGACTGAAGGCCAGAGAATCTGGAGAATAAATTAATCAGGAAAATAAAATTAGTATCTAGACAGACATTATATTTAAATGCATGAAAACAGTAAAATTGTAAAGCATACTACTCACAAGTAGAAACCCAGTAAAGTCTGGAATGGGGGCTGGGGGTATTGAGAGAGGGGATTTTAAACCACATCTTCCAGGATGAATAGAAGGAAGGGTTATATTTCACCTTGCTACTATGAATGAAAGAGAGTTTAACCCATGAGGAGGGTGTGAGCACGTGTGTGATTCTTTAGCATTTAAATAATATGCTGTGCAATTCTCTTTGCAGTGTTAGAGCCCAGACCTGCCCAGGCACACCTGCTCTGGGTAGCAATCCTGGCCTCCCCCTTCCTCTACATCCCAGCCTTCTTCAGCTCTTTGTGCCTGGATTCAGAGCAATGGCAAAGGAATGTCAAGTAAGAAGGTCACATAATGGATAAAATAATCTTGCAGGATCTGTCAAGAAGGACAGGAGAGATGAAAAAATTACAATAAGTGTAATTGTCAAAGTCATGGAGTCTGTGAAAAAGCTTCTTCTGTACAATAATGCTCTGCGTTTACAAGGTGACTGAGTATATAAGAGGTAGGTAGGAATAGAAGAGTCTGCCTGGAAGTGGAAAAACATTTTCTGTGCAGAAGGAGAAAAAACCACTGGAAGGAATAATAACATATTTCAAAGTGGTTTTTATACGTGTAGGTTACATATGAGTTTGAAGGTTTTATTTGCTTCAAAGAGAGTATGAACTTTTCTAGAAATTATCATAGTTTTATAATTCAAAATATAGACTAGAGGAAAAAAAAAAAAAACACACAAAACAAGACTTAGCTAGTCCTGAATGTGTGAGGTGTCCCACAGCAGAGAAAAAAGTACAACTGCAACTCCAGGAAAGATGAGAATATGGTGAACTTACCTTTGTCTTCATGGTCTATTTCAATGGTACTGTCTGCAATAACAAGAGGGCTAGAAAAGAAACCATCACTCCTCTGAGCATGGATCATTCAGTTTAAACATATCTCATAGATGTTATAGCCAAGAGTTACAGCACACCAAGCGCTGCTCCAGGACTTGTAATTTATTCACTCGGTAGGGAAAAAAGTGACTTCTGTAGCAGCATTTTATAGGCCTGCAAAATAAAAAACAACCAGGATGAAAAAATAGCCAGTGGACCAGGAATGAATGTTGGTTTGGCCAGGAATGAAAATTTGGTTTGGTTTGGTTTTTATAACAATGAGCAAAACCACATGCTTAAGTTAGTGGATGTGACCAAGTGATCTGGTCACATCCACTAACTTAATTTATGCTTCCACTAACGCATTTATCCTGTCAAATATGTTATTTTGAACCATAAATGTTCTTGTTGCTGAAAGAGTATGCGCTATAGCAGAAAGGCTGAGCATATCTATTCCAGTTCTGGAATTACAGAAACAACATGCAGCTCTTAAATGTAATTTTACTTGTTTCCACACAATGTAAATGCTATAGTCAATAACTACTTAGACTTTCTTTTTTGTTTTTTGGAAAGATTAAAGCAGGGCAGCACCATTTGTGGATGCTACCCACTAGTTCAGGAGTGCCTGATAACAAAAACTGCACACAGAAGAAAAATCACTTTCACCTAATTAGTAGAAAATTTAACACTGATGAGCTAAACTTTCTCATTAAATTTTTCTTGATAAAAAAGCAACAAGCTTAAAGATAATAAAATTATGTTATTTATTTATTTATTTAAACATAAAGCAAGAGCTCAAAAGTCCTGTATAAATTTAGTGTAAGGGCCTCTCAGGAGGTGTCAGAAGTTACAGAAGACCCTCCGTTACCAGTCTGCTTTTCTGGTTATTGTGAATATTTTCAGTGCTTTCAGCTCATTGCTATTTAAGTACAAAACTAATAAATGGCTAATTAAATTACACAGGCTACAGTCACAGACAAGATTGACAGTGGGTTAGGAAACTCCATCAGAATTCTGAATATTTCCTTATCTAGCTATCTAGAAAAATCAGATTTTATAAATGATTTGGTAAAGAAAAGCATTGTTGACTCATTCATTTCCATGATGGTCTAGTGAGCCTTCCTTTCAGAGCTTAGCTAAGGATGCTAATGCAGCCTCAGCAGCACAATTCCCATTTTGGAAGGCAGGATATATCCTGAGCAAGGTTTCAAGGCCAGGGGTGTCAGCAGTGTGGGTCTAGAGGTGCCTGCTCTGCTGGAGTTGTCAGGGACCACTGCAGAAACTGGACACACAGGAACTGCATCTTCTTCAGAGATGGATTTTGCACCATGACAGCAGCTCTGAGTGATCTCTGGGGAAAGGATCAATTAGAGACTCTTGGCTTCTCTTCATTTATTATATTTTCCATTGAAATAATGTTTCCCATTGTTCTCTCATTTATAATTCACATTCAGTAATTGGCATGAGCAGTAACCCCATTACACTGTTGTCTTAGCACCATGTTACAGCATTACATTTTAAAGTAGTGCTTTCCAAGGACACCATCATCCTTCAGTTGCAACAATCACCTGTATATTTGTTAACTGAAAATAGAATGAGAAGTGCTAGTCCATATTAAAGTACAACAATAGTGAGTTCAGAGCATTTTGGGCAGATCTGGACTGGTTAAATGTTACTCTACACCTCCTCCCAGCAGTGTGCAGGCTTGAATATTCCTGCTTAGTGCTACCCTTCTTCATTCCCCTTCTTACTCAGACTAACCCCAACATTCATTCACCTGTAGAGGTGACATTAATTCCTGGATGCCTGCAGAAATTGAACCATAAACCCCCTGGACACTTTGGGGCAGGGAATGCTTCTTCTCCCTCTGGTGAAAATGACAACTGCTCACAGCTCTAGATTCCACTGCAAGAAAAAAGGCAAGTTTTAATCAAAGTAGGGGCAGACAAGGGAAGAAGTCAGGTTCTGAGCCTCCCCAGGGTTAGAGCAACACCTCCCCAAGGCAGGTAATGCAATGTTATCCCAGCTCACCCCAAAGCAGAACTACACGTGCTGTGGGGCAGCCACTTTGCCCTGCTCCCAGCCTCACCCCCTCCTTAGGGAGTGCTTCTCATGGGGTACATCACCTACAGCCTTGGGGGACCCTTTGCAGAGCACCCACCCAAAATTCCAGGGCTGGGAGAGCAGGGCACACTGCTTTTTTCTCCCCTTCTCATGATTGCCTGTTTCTCTGGACAGCAAAAATGGGTTTAAATCACTGCAAGCTGCGAAGAGCCTGGACCACTCTATCCCACTCCCTAGGCAAGCATTTTATCACAGGTTGTATTTTCTACAAATAGATAGTATATATTATACTCAACACAGAGCACAGCAATCCCTCTTCAAGCTCTGGTGAGAAGAGCAGTGCTGGAACCTTGGTTTAGAACACAAATTAGTCCCATCTAACTTTCCATGCTGAAGGTGTCATTGGCTGCCTGCATCTGTGCTGGGCAGCTCTGGCTCAGGAAGTGACAAGTCTTTGGTTCAGGGCTGCAGAACATGGCTGGTTTTTTGTTTGCCTCTGTGGCTTTCCCACTGCTCATAGAAGAAAGCCTTTATCCCTCAGTAAAGGCAGAGCTGAACTAATACATTGTCAAGAATTCATTGTAAAAGCACAGTTTACTTCTCAAGATTACACTAAAGATTCCCAAGTGTAGGAGCCTGCAACAAAACGTAAAACATTTTAAATATAATGCAGTGAATAACCATGGACTTTCAATAATAATCATTATTTAGTGAATGTATTAATAGAATAAAAGCAATATTGAAGCAAATAAATGACCTCTGACACCAAGAATGGATTGCATTTCATATTACTTTACTTAACTGCCCCCTCCTTCCCCCACCAAACAGAAGCTTTATTGACAAAATGTGCTCTGGTGATTTAGTCTGTAGACTTAAAGAATGTGCAACTCTGGGAAAAACTGAATTATGGATTCTATTTGTTAGATGAGGAATGGCATGTAATAACTTAATGAGCTAGAAGCTTATTAGTTGTAAAAAAGAGACGGCGCTGTCTATCAATCTTTTATTTTTTTAACTCAGAAATGTTCAGGTGGGTAAGCATCAAATCCATTTCACATTTATTATCTTATGAATTGCAGTATGTGCTAGAATCTCAACAAGCTACAAAAATATATCTCAGCCTCTAGTTTAATGGGCATTTTATTAGTCAGTTTTGGAGGCTCTATCTGAAACCCAAGTCATTAGAATACATGCTCACATATTTGGCCAGCAAAAAATTCACTCACACACAAGAGCTACTCTGATTTCATCAAAACTGTGGAGTGAAAGAAATTCAAACACAGTAACAGTGACACTGACAGTAACAACTACGTTTCAATAACTATTTATTGCTCTATGGAGACATGAATGCAAAAGGACAGTAAGATAAAAATTTTAACAAGAAACTTGTAGACAAACTAGCCTAATATAAAATGGAAGAATCGAATCCTTGGTTGTTAAAGTTTTCTCCACTGTGAAAAGTACACGAATTTACCTCACCTACACTTTCCTGTGGACCTATTTATTCTTCACAATGAAGTAACATTTGAATCATGATATGTATGTGTGAATATGCATAAAAATTACAATAAGGTAGTTTAAAATCCATCAGATGCTTCTCCCAGTCTTAGCTGATATTATGTCTTAAAAATACACTGTAACAAATAGGAATTAGACCTAAATAAATTCATAAAACACATGTGCAAGTAAAAAAAAAAATGGCAGAAAGAAGGAAATTCAAAGTTCAATCCAATGTATACAGAGGTATATGTAGAACAAAGCAGTCAGGTTCTTATCTATCAGCCCAAATATTTCATGTGCTGCACAGATCCCTGGGTAATTGCAATTTAACCCTGCACAAGATTGATCTACTTGCTTTGATTTTCTTTTCCTGAAATAAAAATAAGCAAGGAAAGAAAATCTGCATTAATTTATGCCTCTAGTAGGCTCCTGTGGGTGCCTTTTTTGGTTTATTGGTTCATTGGGGTTTTTTTCCTGTGGCCAGTCTAGCAGATGTCTTACATACATCAGGCTGTTTAGAAGAGCAGTCATAGCCATTTCACTTAATCAGGTAATAGCACACTATTGACATATTAGACCAATTTAATACATTTGTTTTCTGTATCCATTTACATTTCATCTCAAAGGTCTCCACCACAATGGATTTTGAACTATTTGTGCTGAGCACAATCGAAGGGCCAGTAATCCAATAATTTGATTTTCTTGCTGCAGAGACCAGGAGAGAGGGAAAACCATCTTTCTGTTGCCCAGCAAGTGAGCTGCAGGCCTGCATTAGGCTTTCAGCTTCCTGTGTAAAACATACCCCAAGGGCAGCAGAAGGCCACTTAAACACAGCTTGGAGGGCATCACTGGAACATGGCTGTGGCACCTTGGCTTTCTGCCCAGGAGTAAATTCCAACCATTAGCATCAAACACTCATCCTGAAGCTCTCAAACGGAAATTAAATGCCATCTATCAAATGAATAAACAATAATAAAGTAGCACAAGTAAATTAAAAAAATAAATTGCAGTCATTTATACTGTGGATCATCTGTTCTGGGTTGCTCTTCCAGACTGTTCGCCTCAGATTATCTTTCAGCCTATTTTTTCACTATTGGATTTTTGTACATGTAAAACAGCCCTTGATATACAAATTGAATTTATTCATGCTCTATGCTACTTGTACTAAAAAATAGTTTTAAATAATGCTTGTTTTTCCTATGCAAATAATTTTGTTTACTTCTAGTCATAGGTTAAGTTTACATGAGTTGCATCTAAAGAAGAATACGAACAACAACAATTAAACATGCAAGAATGTACCTTTAGATATCTCAGCTGGAACTGCACATTCTGGTTTAAGCAGTCCAGGAAAATTTCAGCAGTCTTCAGAATTTGGAAAGCTGTGAATTTAAAGTGAATTCACCCTTTAAGTGTGCTCAAAGGAAAAGCAACCAGTAGTTTGGGACAGATTTTAAAGGGGATTTTTTAATAAGTAGAATTTAATTACCTAATTGAAATTTTTGCTGTAGTGTCCTGGCTAAGACTTCACTTTTTGTGAAAAACAAGAAAAAAACCGAAAACCTACTCTGGGAAATGATTATGCTTTATCTGTATCACAGCTATTACAGCAATAAATTCAGCCGTGTGCTGAGATGGGACAGTATTGCAAAGGAGAGCAAAGGGAAATATCTCACTGAATATTAGTCTCATTTCCCAAAACAAGCTGACTCTTCCCAGGAACTTCTTTCCCAAAATTTCCTTAGGGTATGAAATAATTGGCTATTAACCAGTGTATTCTTGACCCAAAGAATAGAGCAGAAAACATGCAAGTCTTGTCTGGATTACTAGAATAAAGAAAAGAGAAATGAGAGTAGATATGCACTGCCTGCGCCCATGGCTCTCTTCATTTTGCTCATTGGGACTGGAGGCTTTTACCTGCATTTATAGCATGGCAAAAGACCTGAGGAAAAGAGCAGAAGGGAAATGAGAACAGCACAACCTTCTCTCTTTTCAGATTTATTTTCCCCTGCCTGCTTGCCCTGCATTTAGTGTGGGGCTGTGCAAAAGGAAGGCTGCCAGCTCCATAGCATCATATTGCCAGCATAAAGGGCATCCTGTCTCAACCCGAGGCAGCAGAGAACTTGTGAAGAAGTGTCTGGACACAAAGAGAAAAACCAGCAAAATCTTACTTGTCATAAGTCCTGTGCAGTCTTCTGAACAAGTGATAGTTTCCCTTTTTTCCCCTTGTACATGGGGTCACCTGTAACCCACTAAAACCTCTGATGTCCCCTGGGTGCTGGCCCAGCACCCCGGGCACCCCATGGGAGGAGTGGCTGAGGATGCAGCATTGGGGACTGTTCTCATGGCCTGGAAGGATGAAAACAAGTCATTAATATGCACCAGGCAGAGCCAGGGGCTGAGCCTGCTGCTAATGAGAGCTGCCCCGAGGCCTCAGGTCATGGTTCTGCTAAATCCTGTGCTCTTGGTACACCTGAAAACACCACACCAACAGGCAGCAGGGCTCACACACCTGCCTGAGTGCAGGACAACATCACCAAAGTGCTGGGGCAGGTGTCTGAGCCACTGAGAAAGTGTCTGTCCCTAAATTCAGCCAAGAAGTCCTTCTGGGGCTGGTTGGCCTCTGTTGCAGCTGCCCTGCTGCTGGACAGGAGTGTCTGGGCAGGGTGCAAAGCCTGGTGCTGGCTGGTTCACAGTGATCTGCAGTGTGTGCCTGTGCACTACAGGGGACAAACAGGAGGCCACACAAACTCTGGGATGGGCTGTGATCTCGCTGGCATCACAGCCAGAACACACACACCACAATATGCTCCTGCTGGGCCCTAGCTTGGCTCCAGCTACCTCAAACAGTGGCTCTCATTCTCTGCAGAACCATTCTTCTGCCCTTCAGAGGATGGTGAGCACTACGTGTACAGACCTCCTCGGCAGTCTCCATGTTTCCTTGCTGTCTTTCACCCCATGAGAATGTTTTCTGCAACAGAAAGTTTTAGTCCCCTCTAGCCTTAGCCTGCTGATCACTGTTTGATGCCCTGAAAGAGTAATACATGCAAACAGGGTGTGCTGGCTGCAAATTTAGAGAAAACATTTATTTTCCTATGGGCGAAAGGGATGTTGTTGGTGTAGGAAGTGTGTGTATAAATATACCTGGTTTAAAGAAAGCTCCCCTATGATTCCAGGTCAGATTTCACTCTATTTCAAAAGCCTTCATCTGCCATATGTCCCAAAGTGTCTGAATAGCAAGAAAGGGGTTTGGAAAAACTTGGCTGACTACTGGAAAAGAAGGAATAGTATCCCAAACACTGTGCTTCCCCATTCCTACACCTGTGTGGCAGGAGTACCTCTGATTTGTTGCAGTTAGAATTCCCTGTATCACAGAATATGACCTGCAGAACCAGTTTTGTCCCAGTTTATAAACAGTTTTACAATGTCTTCTGGTGGTGGAAAGATTCCACAGCAATCAGAAAGTCCTATGTTCTAGGGATGTGAGATCATTTTTAGATCAAACACAAATTAGGACTTAATTTTCTTTAAACCCCATGTCCAACTGTTCAGATTCCATGAGTGTCTCAGGATCAACACTCTTACACACACCTACAAAATACCAGTGCTCTGCTTATTCTGTATTTCAGTAACTTAAATACATGACAAATTCTCTCATGCTGCAAATTTATCTTCATTGAGCTATCTTTTGATCTTGGGCATTAACTCTGATCAGCACTAAGGCGGAGACAGTCTATCCAATTAGCAGGTGAAGCCTCAGAAACTCAGGACACAGCACTCTGCT